TAACGAGGTCAGCGATAGTGGGAAAGGAAGCGAGGTCAGGGAAGAGAAACGGTAGCATGAGGCGGCTAAGGGTAGCGGAGGAAGGGGAGGAGTAGCGTGCAACTACAGCGTCGTACAAGGCCTGAGCGGTCTTGCACTGACTAAAGTGGGCACGCTCAGAGGAAGGGAGGTGGCGACGCACAGCAAGACGTGCAGCAGCATCGCGGGTCGCCCACTTGGAGCGAACGGCAGAGTCAGCATCAGCAAGTGGGGCAGGGACAGCGCCAGAGACAAAGTCAAAGAGAGAGACCTCATCTATCGCATCACACAGTAAGTACAGCTGCAGGTCTTCAATCCAGACGGCAAAGTCAATGGCCCTCCCCTCAGCGTCAAAAGTAAGAACATTGGGGGTGGCCATGGCAGCAGCTGAAAGTCTCACCGGGCTGGGAGAGTCGGGTAGGTCAGCAGCAGAGGAGCACAGCTCAGGAACAGCAGCACGGCTCCTCAGGCGGCTCGGGCGGCTCGGGCGGCTCGGGCGGCTCGGGCGGCTCGGGCGGCTCGGGCGGCTCGGGCGGCTCGGGCGGCTCGGGCGGCACGGGCGGCTCGGGCTGCTCGGGCGGCGGCTCGGCCGCAGCTCAGCGGCGGCTCGGGCGGCGGCTCAGGTGGCCCGGGCGGCGGCTCAGGCGGCGGCGGCTCGGCGGCGGGTCGGCTGCTGCTGGGCGGCTCGGCTGATGCTGGGCGGCTCGGCGGGGCCGCGTAGCAGAGGGCGGCGGGGCCGCGTAGCAGAGGGCGGCGGGGCCGCGACCGAAGAGGGCGGCGGGGCCGCGTAGCAGAGGGCGGCGAGGCCGCGTAGCAGAGGGCGGCGGGGCCGCGTTGCAGAGGGCGGCGGGGCCGCGATCGAAGGGCGGCGGGGCCGCGTAGCAGAGGGCGGCGGGGCCGCGTAGCAGAGGGCGGCGGGGCCGCGTAGTAGAGGGCGGCGGGGCCGCGTAGCAGAGGGCGGCGGGGCCGCGTAGCAGAGGGCGGCGGGGCCGCAATCGAAGGGCGGCGGGGCCGCGTATCAGAGGGCGGCGGGGCCGCGTGGCAGAGGGCGGCGGGGCCGCGTAGCCGAGGGCGGCGGGGCCGCGATCGAAGGGCGGCGGTGGGGCCGCGTAGCAGAGGGCGGCGGGGCCGCGATCGAAGGGCGGCGGAGCCGCTAGGGAAGGGCGGCGGAGCCGCTAGGGGAAGGGCGGCGCAACGGGCCGCTAGGGGCGACGCGACGGGTCGCTAAAAAAAACGCGCCTCGGGGCGCGGTTCGGTGGGCCCTAGAAGCAGTCCCTAGGAGGGAACCTGCTCTGATTCCATGTGAAAACAAAGAACGAGAATGGATGACTATGAAGTGAAGTGAATACAAATAGGAAACCCTAATGTGTTGTACCCCCTATGGGATACCCCACTATAGCCTACACAAACAAGTAAGCTATATGTTCTGACATCTGGTTTAGGAAAGAGCAATCTATTCTGTCAGTAGATCTGCATTTTGGATGCCCGATTGATCATAAGAGGGGTAACAGGCGCGTTTGCCTGGGGAGTCACGGGCGCACAAACCTACTATACAAACAAGCCCTTTTATCCCAATGGTCTAAGTGGTTGGGATTCTGACATGGTATCAAAGCGGTCTCGGGTTCGAATCCCGGTGTATGCACATGTAGGCCGTTGCCACTGTGCTCAGTCCTGGGCCCCCTAGTCTGGGGGGGTGTCAGTAGATTTGCACTGTGAATGCCCGATACATCCTGAGTGGGGTTACAAGCGCGTTCATAATCAAGCAAGTAAAGTCTAGCAAAGCCGTCGTACTCTCACCATGGGGGTGAAGCATCATTTGTAGCACCTCGCCCTTTGCAACATAGTCTGGATGCGCAACTGCCTTGAATGGGCTTCCCTTCCTCCGAGGATGGCGCCGTATGAGCTGATGTTCGAAAAGAAGCCGGACCTTACGATGGCGAGCATGTGGGGCTGCATGGTGTAGTTCATGGTCCCGGAGCAGCAGTGCGGCGGAAAGTTGGTGCCGAAGGCATGCTGAGGCATTCACCTTCGGAGAGCAAGGGCTAGGAAGTGCTCGACCTTACCGACAACCGTGTTGTCACAACCGTGGAAACAAACTTCTACAAGTCCTTGGAGGAGTGGAAGGTGGAGCATAGGCCGGCGTCAACGCGGACGAAGGTTTCTTCGCTGACGGGTCCATTGCCAACGGCGATTCAGTTGCTCTAAGTGGAGGACGATGGTCCTTCTGCCGATCCCTCTTCCACCATTCCGCCCTTGTCAAAACCTCCTCCTCCTCTTCCCACCTCCCTCCCATCGCTCCCCCCCGGCATGCCTAAGTCGGCATCGACGTCGGCCGCGAGCAATGAGGGGAGCGTTGGTACGTCGCCTTCGGCTTCGCCTATCGGCATCACTGGCGGTCGACGTGATCAACTCAGCGAGCAAGTTACCGTTGGAGTGAAGTCTCCACCGACAGGGGATCCGTCGAACAGGAAGCACGTTTTAGAGGAGCCGTCGACAAGGGAGCCGCCGAATGGGGAGCGCGTTTCAAAGGAGCCGACGAGCGAGGAACTCTCTTCAGAGGAACGAATGACTAGGGAGCAATTCGACGATGGCACATAGAGCGACGTTGTTGAAGTCATCGGCGGCGATGAAGGGGATATGTCGACCAGCGATAGCGATGTGGTGGAAGTCTTTGCCGACAAGCCCGCAGTTCGACGTTCCACCCGCTCCAACTTTGGCAAGCCTCGCAAACAGCTGAGCTACCATGCTTGCCTGACGCCGACCTCCTACAACACTCTGCTCGACGAAGCGCAGTTCGATGTCAATGTGCCAGAGCTCGACCCCGATATGCACGCTGACCCAGAGCACCGTTGGGACATCACCAACGTGGTGGTCAAGGAAGAGTTGGCGAGCTGGAAGGGCAATGCAGTGAAAGCGGCAATGGACGAGGACATTCGAAGTCCCATCTCCAACGGCACATGAGAGCTTGTGGAGCGCCCACGCGGCATCAATGTCATGAAGAACCGCTGAGAGCAAGCTTGACCGTGTGCTCTACATGGACCAGCCGGCTTACTACAACGACGGCACCGACCGCGTATGCAAGCTGCTGAAGAGCTTGTACGGGCTGAAGTAGAGCCCTCTGCTGTGCTACTCGACGCTCGACGATGTGCTGACTGGCGCCGGCTGGAGCAAGAGCTAGGTGGACGAGGCTCTGTATTTCAGAGTTGGCGACGACGAAGTGGCGTGCTAGGTGCTCGTCAACGTGGATGGCCAGTAGTAGCACCGCAATGCTGAAGGAGCTGCTTGAGGTCGCCTTTGAGCTGCGCAAGATCAGCCTGGTCGAGAAGTATTTGGGGCTCGAAATCGTGCGCGACCGACCTGCACGGAAGCTATGGCTGCACCATTAGTCCTACGTTGACAAGTTGCGTAAAAAGTTTCATCGACGAGGAGAAGATTGCTCGGCGTCCGAAGACGCCTCTTTCCGTCAACGCCTACGCCGAGCTGAATTTCGACGACGAGGACTTCCAGTCGCGCGAAGACGAGAAGTATTGTCAAAAGGTCGGTTCGCTACAGTTCGCCGCCACGACAACTTGGGCCTACATAGCTTTTGCGTCTAGCAAGCTAGGGTCTGGTCTGACAGTGAGGAGCGACCAGCATTGGCGCGAGGCCGATCGCTACCTCACCTATCTCGCCGACACACGCGATGCTGCTCTAGAGTTCGGTGGGGGGGCGGAAACTCTGAAACTGGTCGGCTACGCGGACGCGGACGACGCTGGCAACAAGCAGATATGCAGCAGCACGAATGGCTATGTTTTCACCTTCAACGGCGCAGCTGTCCCCTGGACGAGCCAACTCATCAAGTGTTTGACTGTGTCCTCGATGGAGTCTGAGTACATCGCGGCTACCGAAGCAGGCAAGGAGGCTCGTCGACTTCGATTCCTCCTCTCCTAGTTCCAGCTCGTCGACGTTGGGATGCCGACTACTCTGAATGTGGACAATCAGTCTGCCATTGAAGTCGCTAAGGGCTTGGGGCTAAAGGGCAACCTCAAGCATATGGAGCAACGCTATGCTTGGCTGGAGCAGATGGTGAAGCGCAAGAAGATTGCGCTGGAATATATCCCGACATCCGAGCAGCCGTCAGACTTTCTTACGAAGACGCTGCACTTTCCGGCTTTCAACTGGTGCTCCGTCGCGGTCGGCCAAGTTTGCCTTGCCGACGTCGCCGCTGACGACGACGTGCAGCAGTAGGCACCATGTCCTCTAACATGGCTCGTGTGGTGATCGACGTCCGGGGGTGTGCACACCAAAGAAATATCCCCTTGTATTCTATTACCTAGGTTCTTTGTGGACCTTGTGTGTGGGTGCCCAAGCGTGACATGGGCAGGGGAGTGTCGAAGTGAAAGGCCCCGCCCTCGCTTGGGCGCAGGCGTTCTCTGTGACGCTGTGGTGAATTCGACGAATGCGGTTGTCGAATTGGCTCTTAAAACCCGCGGGCCAAGAAGTTCAAGCTTAGGAAGCTTGGTTGGGAACAGATATGCCATTGGTACACGAAGGGACTCAAACGTAGAAAAGATTGGACGAATGTCGCGAACTATGCCAAACCTCGCCAAAGTAGCCTGACACATAATGCGACGGCCAACATACCCACACCTCAATCGCACAAACCCACCAGCGACCTTTCCCCACAACCCATCCACATTTCTAAGTGTCACGCCCCAACAACACTTCTATTAGGACCTTAGTAAGCCTTACGTTGGTATCTATGCAACGTAAATCAGAGCAAGTAGAGTGACCCACCGTCACGTAACATTCCAACGACCAGTGATTACGTAACAGATAGATTTCAAAGTCGTGTAACAAGGACAAAAATAGAGATACTGCCGGCGTCAAAGCCTCTAGGTGCGGATTCCGTCAAAGCCCTTCACACATCGGTTAGGGTTTGCTCGTGCTGGAATTTCCCATCCCGGGCTCGCCGCGCTGCTATTTCTTCCCGTCGCAGCGCGATGCCCTTTCAGTCGACGTCTCCTGCTACACCACGTTCATCGACTTCCCCCTCCCGTCGCCTCCACTTCCCCCTCCCTTCGCCTCCACTTCCCCCTCCCTTCGCCTCCACTTCCCCCTCCCGTCGCCTCCACTTGCCCCTCCCGACGCCTCCACTTCCCCCTCCCGTCGCCTCCACTTCCCACTCCAGTCGCCTCCACTTCCCCCTCCCGTCGCCTCCACTTCCCCCTCCCGTCGCCTCCACTCCCCCCTCCCTTCGCCTCCACTTCCCCCTCCCGTCGCCTCCATTTCCCCCTCCCGTCCCCTCCACTTCCCCCTCCTGTCGCCTCCACTTCCCCCTCCCCCTGCTACCCTTGTCATTCTCCCTTCCCCTCTGCTCCATTCGCCCGCACTGCGCAGTTTGTGCAGTTCTTCGTGCGCTCCGTCCCCGACGCACAGGTCAAGACCTACAAGTACATACTCAACTCCCTGCTCACGGTACGCCCTGCCCTAGCCTGCCACCCTGCCCCACCCTGGCCCCTCCTATTCTTCCCTCCCTGCAGCTGTGTGCAACTTTCAAGTGTAAACACCCTAGACAAAACAAACCCCTCTCTCCACGCCATCCAGTGTTCATCCGATGCCAACTCCCTCCCCTCCCCATCCCCCTGAGCACAGCTGCTCGAGACCAACTCAGTGAGCATGCACATCCCGGGCGATGACTTGCGGCTGCTACTGGGCTTGAACGCTCCTTTGCTGCTACTGCTGCTGATGTTGCAGTGCCTGATGACTCCTCGCTGCTTGAGCAGGTGAGCCCGTCACCTTGTGTACCCACCTAAAGGCATGCCAGTTACCGACCCATACCCAGTGTGGCCGCTCCCTGTCGGCCAGTCTTTCTGAGTCTTGTTTCTGCTTTGTAAGGAAATCCTGCTCAAACCATCTCCCTCTCTCTCTCTCTCTCTCTCTCTCTCTCTCTCTCTCTCTCTCTCTCTCTCTCTCTCTGTCTCTCTGTCTGTCTCTCTCTCTCTCTCTCTCTCTGTCTCTCTCTCTCTCTCTCTCTCTCTCTCTCTCTCTCTCTCTCTCTCTCTCTCTCTCTCTCTCTCTCTCTCTCTCTAATGGTCCTTGTATTGATATAGACGGCAAGTACAAGCATGCAAGTCATAGAGTCATAGGTTACACACATGCAAAGCACAAGCACCACAGATCTACAACTCCACTAGGGGCTCAATGACCGCGAAGCAGTCCCCAAGGTGCAACTCGTCCCCACTTTCCCCCACAGGCGGGTTTTCTACTGCCGCAGCCTCTCCAAGCTTGAGCAGGAGACCCACAGATTGGGCCCTTTGCAGGGCCACCGACCAGCGTTGCCTGAACTGGTGCAGGAACTTTGCAACATAGAACGATTTGGAGTCGGCGTTGAAGTGGCGCCGAGCTGTAGTGTCCGCCAAGAGCTTCAGGAAGACTGGCACCTCCGCGCAGGGGCAGCCGTAGGTGTCCACCGCAAGTGGGAAGAACTTCACCGTCTCTGGCAGGGTGGCGTAGTGCTGGATCTTCTTGTCCGCTTGCTCCCGTGCCGCCCAACCCCTGCCTTTCTGCGCCTCTTGATCCCTAGTGCTAATAGGGTCAGTGATGGTGACGTCGCATACGTAGACGGCCCCACTGCTTCTGTTCGTCATTGTAAAATCTGCCGTCTGTTCCTCAATGGGGCAGTGCGCCGATGACTCGCTGTGGACAATGAACCCCGCGTCTTGGGCCATGCTAATGCAGGCATCGCGCAGCTCGTTATGGGTGTTGATGCGATGCTTGCCCGTGCCGCAGCGGAGTAGGTGGTTAGGGAGGCGGGGGTCCGTGATGGCGATGTGATCAGCGCAGTCACACTTCTTTGGTGTGGAGAAGGGGAGGGCCAGCCGGAAACGCATGGCATTAGAGAAGTGGGTGGGCCCTAGCCTCCTGTTGGCCGCAATGGGGATAGCGGTCAGCCAATCCCCGGTCCCGTAGCCGGTCAGTGAGTACATCCGCTGCGTGTGTCCGCACAGGGGGTTCAGCGCCATCCGTCGAGTCTCCACGACCTGTGCGGCATATCTGCTTCCATGTACTCTCAGTGCCAATGCGTGCTGGAGCCTGATGTCTGATCGCTCCAGCCGCTCTTTCTCCAGGATCTCCCGTGCATCCTCCGGTAAAGCCGCTTCGCACTCCGATAGCCATGCGTGGAGAGGCGTGGCGACGTCGACAGGCAGCAGCATGTGGTCCCGAGCGTGCGTCAAGGCGCCATCAGGGGCGCCGTCTAGTGATGCCAGGAAAAGCGCGGCTTGTGTGAAGCTCGCTGCGTACCCGTATACTCCCTCGATTAGGGTGTCGGTAATGCCTATCCCTCCCAAGGACGGCGGCAGTGAGGCTTGCGCCCAGACACATGCTTGTTCAGTGCGGCAGGTGGGGACGCGGATGCCGCATGCTGTGAGTAGCGCTGCAAGCATATCAGTGCCCCACTGACTCCAGGTGTCGTGAGGTAGGAGGTGAAGCGGTGTCGTTCTGGTGAGGTATGCCACCCGCCTCGAGATACAGCGGGTGAGCAATAGCGATGCTACCTGGGGGTCGGCTTTCTCAAGGAGTGGCAAAGGATTTGCCATTTCTTGTAACTGACCCGACAAGAACAGTGACGCCCCGCTGTCAGGGCCCACAAAGCTTCCCAGCAAGCGCACGCCGTCCTGGGAAAATGGAACTCCCTGCGGCAGCTGATCCTTCACTTCTGCTTCCCTGCTCCAGGCTGCGCATTTCTGCGCGTTGTGTCTTAGCCCCAGGTGTGCCAACCTCTCGGTGAAGTGATTAAATGCGGCTACAGTGTCCGCCGCCTCCCCAAGGAATGTGACATCGTCGGCGTAAGCCAGACAAAGCACCTGTGGATATGCCTCAGCAGTGTCGCGAAGTGCTGGGTGTATTCCTGCCGCGAATAGTAACGGACCGAGTGGGTCCCCTTGACGCACGCCCCGTTTGCTGGTCAGTGGGTCACATTCGAAATTTGCGTCGAGGTGCAACTTGGACGGGTTACCATAGGTCAGTTTCACCAGCGGCACTAGTGGCGATAGCCCGGGTTCTTGTAACGCCGTCGCGATAGCTTGTTGGGATATGCTGTTGAGCATTCGAGATGTCGGTCTGCAGCACCAGGCTGTTGGGTAGCTTGTCCAGATACGCCCGCGCCACGTGGATAACTGCCTCGGCCCCACCTGGCACAGCCACTCCATACTGTTGAGGCAGGAAATAGTCACGTGCAGCATCGCCCGTGGCTGCGAGGGCTGCCTTGGCTGTCAGCCGAGTGATGCACTCGCCAATCGCGATTGGTCGAGCCCCCCCACCAGGTTTGGCCAGGGCTATGAGTCGCGAGGCTGTCAGTAGGTCCGCCACCGGTGCTGGTAGGTTGCCCCCCAAAATGGTGTTTATCAATGCGTGCAGATGGGTGCTAACTCGCCCGTTCGTGATTGACGCGTCGCGCATGTGCTCGAAAGTTGTTCCCGAAGGGCCGGCACCGACCCCATTCTCACACCTCCCCAGTAGTTTGGCGAAGTCAGCGTGGGAGATGGATAATTTTGACTCGGACGTGGGTGGCCACGTCGTTTGTCCTGATTCGGCTGGCGGATGTTTCCGTCGGAGCTCCTCCAGAATTTCTGGAGTTGGTTTGCAGACTGGCGTTGACTCTAACGCCAACAGTGCTCGGCGCAGGCTACCACGTTTCGCCAGGCCCTCGGCTCTGCTGATGACCCCGGTAGCGTCGGGCTGATGACATGGTGGCGCGGGTGAGTTGACTGCTTCAATCGCGTCCTTGTACAGTTGGTCCCACTCGCCACGCTGGAAGGCTCGGAGCCGGGCCTTGATCTGGGGCCAGTTCGGTTTCCGTGGCGAGTTTTGGCGAAGCGTCAGGCGTGGCAGAAAGAGGAGGAGGCGCCAACCTGCCTCTGATTCCGGGTTTCGCGATAGGTGGAGTAACGGGGTCAGTAGCGTCAGCGAAAACAACTGGCACAGGTTTGGCGGTAACCGCCGTGCCAGAGATGGTTGCCGACTGTCGCAGAGGGCAGGGATGTCCAAGTTCGCGATGTCCGCGAACCAGTCTGCCCGCATCGCCAGCTCCTCTGGCGTGAAATAGTGAGGGAGATTGGGATTTCCTCGCACCGCCGTCGTGTTTGCCGCGGCCCAATGTCGCCTGGTGCGGCGCGTCCTTGCTTGTGATGGTGTGGGTGGAATGGCGCCCGTACGATCGGCATCGGACGGTCCACCAGCGGTGTCCATTTGCTCGCCAAGGGACTGCCTTGGTCTTGCTCCCGTCCTCCTCCCGTTCTCCCTTACTCCTTCCTCTCCTTCCGTCCCTTCATCTTCGCTCGAGGGCATGGGCTCCTCCCTATAAGAGGGGTCCGTTCCCTCTTCGTCATTATCTAGCCTGTTTAAAGCCCTTCGTGCCTCTGACTCATAGCCGTTCTCCGGCCCTCCTCCCTGTCCGCTAGCAGCTTCGCGCCCTCCGCCACGCGCTCCTCGGTCTCGCGATGGTGATTGCTGGTGTGACCGATTACTCGCCAATGCGCGCTGGCGCTGCGTTGGTTGTGTTCGAAAAGTCGTTGGCTGCCTCCGGAGCAGGGACCATGGCGACGGGGTCCCCGCCGCCGTCTGCTCCGAAGCCCGTGACAGTAGACGCTGAAAAGACTCCTCCCCTCGTATCCGCGGATTCTCACGTCGTGAACGAGGCTGCGCCGTCTGCGCCGGCTGTTGCTCCTCCCGCTCCGACTGTCGCTCTTGTTCCTCCTGCTCCCGTTGTGGCGCCGACGACGGCTGCTCTTGCAAGGGAAGTTGTTGTTCCCCCTGTCCCAGTCCCTGGCGCTCTTGGTGCACCTGTCGTTTCTGTCCCCGCGAGCTTGCGCCGGCGTCTGCTTCTTCCCCGAAGGTGGCGTCCGCCACCACTGTCGGCCCGGCCCCGATGGTTGCACCTCCCGGCGCGGACCTGGTGGCTCCCGCTCTGTGGCCAGCAGCCCCAGTTGGTGAGCCGTCTCGTCCCCCGTCGCCTGACCGCCGTCTCTCAAGGCCCCATTCTCCAGCGCCGCAACAGGGGCGCGAGACGTCGCGGCGCCGGCGTAACTCCCCCCGGCGCTACCAGCAGCAGGCCCAGTGGCCCGCTCATCCGGGAGGCAATGGGGACTGGAGGGGTCCCCACGGACGTGGTGGTCGCGGGAGGTATCGTCCGCCCGTGACAATGGCAGATCTTCAGCGGGAGGTGTCCCGGGCCGTTCGCGAGGAGAGGGCGGCGCAGAGCCAGAGCAGTTCGCCGCGAGCTGCACCGGCGCACATGGCTCCTCGTCCGCCTGTGCCTCCTGTGGTCCCTCCTCCGGCCGCTCCACTTCCTTCCCCTGTCCTCGTCCCGTCTGCTCCCTCTCCTTCTGTAGCGGCGCCAGTTCCCGGCTCTCGTCTGCATCTGCCGACGGTTCCGCCTGTTGCGGGGGTGGAGTTTGTGGCCGCGGGTGGTGGCGCGGCAGCGGCTCAGTATGCAGCTGATGAGCCGCTCCAGTTCCTGGCGGAGGCGCTTCAGCCTCCGCAGACGCGTGTTCCCGAATCGACTCTCGGTCAGCTCCATCGCCTCGCAGAGAGTCTCCACGCGTTGCTGCTGATACAAGTCCTTGCTCACTCCTCACTTCCTGTAGTCCCTCCTGAGACGTTTCGCGACCGTCCGCGCGAGACCTGCTTGGATGCGGCGGACCAGCTCGCCGTGCTGCTGGCGCCCGTGCTGGCTGCGCCCGCGGAGGGTGGCGCTGCTGCTGCGGGACAGCTGGACGAGGCTGTCCGGAGCTTGAAGCGGCATTTGCGCGCTGGATCTAGAGCCGCGGCGATCGGCGCAAGTACGCTGGTGGTCCGGGAGCTGTGGCGGATCTTAACTGGCATTCTCCATGCACTTGGAGCTCACCGGATGTAGATCCGGCCTCTGCTTGCCCCTGTGTTGCCATTGGTGCTTAGGATTGTGTTGATGCCGCCATAGTTTGTATGCCGTTGCTTGCAGTCAATCGTGTGCGTGTTTCCTTGCCACCCCTCACGCGCGGCCGAAGGCCGCGCTGTCGAGCGTCGGCCGCCGAAGGCGGCCGGCGCAAGCCATTGGGCTAGAAGAAATGAACCCTCAGCTGAATAATGAGCCACCAGACCAGGCCCAGGGCCTTATATACTAGGGGTAGGGGTGGCTGAGAGGCTGAGAGGCTAAGGGACTAAGGGACTATGCCTCTCTCTCTCTCTCTCTCTCTCTCTCTCTCTCTCTCTCTCTCTCTCTCTCTCTCTCTCTCTCTCTCTCTCTCTCTCTCTCTCAAGCAGTCATGTATTGACATGGTTCGCAAGGTACAAGCAAGGAGCTACCACTTGGTCTAAACGTGCAAGCAATCGTGAGTCCAACATAGCGAGACCTGCAAGCTAGGCAAACGAACAACTAGCAAAACACAGAGAACCAGCTCTCCAGATGTTGAAACAGGCCACCACACACTAGGACGAACGAGCCAGCCAGTACCAAGGCCACCAAACCCTGTCCCTACAGTTCTCCTGCTTCTGGACTCCCCCTACTGATCCTGCCTCTCTGTCCACAGTCCCTTTCCCCATACGCAGCTTCCTGCCGTCGTCCGGCTAAACCTCCCCCACTCCCACTCCCTCCCCGCCCTCTAAGCCGTTCTGGCAGGGGCTTGACGCTCCTCGTACTCATCCTCTTGCATTTGCCAGAGGTCCCCCAGCCGGGGGGCCCAGGGGTCTGCCGGCGCCTGTGGGAATGCCGCCTCGGCCGCCCTGTTTGACTTAGATAGGAGTGAAGTCGCCTGGCTGCGCTGAAGCATGACCGACCACCGCTGCCTGTAGTGTGCATTAAGGCGGGCGGCAGTGGTGGTGAGGCGCCCCTGGCGGTATTTCTTCCGTGCCGCATAGTTGGCTAGCATACGGAGGAACTGCTGGGTGTCGGCCGCCAGGGCCCCATAGGTCTCAACTGCCAAACCAAAGAAGCCGACGTATCCAGGGCGCCCTACGTAGAGCCGATGTTTTGTCTGCGACGCCTCCTCCGCTGCCCATCCTGGCGGCTTCCGTGCCCTCACATCCCTCCTCTGCAGGACCGGGTCCGTGACTGTCACGTCTGTCGCCCAGGTCTCCCCTGATTCCGGGTCCCGAACGGCGAGGTCCGCTCGCTTACTCGCTACAGGGGGAGAGAAGGCAGTCGTCTCGTGGAAGGTCCTATACCCTGCTTCCTGCGCCATGCGGAGGGCTGCAAAAACCAGGGCGTTGTGGGTGCGCACCGCATCCCCGCCGTCGGCACAACGGAGCAGATGGTTCGGCAGGCTCTTGTCAGCAGTAGAGGAGTTGGATCTCCTGCAGGGGCAAACCTCCGCTACCGGTAACTCCATGCCAAGGCGCAGGCCCAGTGCCATGGAGAACTGACCAGGGGAGATTGAGAGGTCAGCCCTCGTTGGCACTGCATGGAGCCAGTCACCTGCTCCCACTCCTTTCAAGCTAATTAGCCGAATTGCATGGCCCCTGTCCACCCCCGGCCTATCTGTGACCGTATCTGCGAGCAGCTCTTCCGCCCGCGTGTGGTTAATGGCCTTAGACAGGCCCAGCTGCAGGTTGCCCATGCCTTTCGGGTTCTCCCTATAGCTGCGGAGGACTGCTGCAGCCTGCGCTGGGAGCCTGGCCTCAAGCGGTGCCAGCGGGTTGGCCCGGGGGGGCGGTGGGGCCCATGTCGGGGAGAGGAGATTCCCGGCCTTGTGAAGAAGGTAATCTGGCGGCAGGTTCAGCTGCTGCAGGAGAAGGTGCGCCGCTGCAGTTGAGGCTAGGTACGCTGCTGGGGCTTCGGAGATGGGGTCAATGATTCCCAAACCTCCTAGCCGCACCGGGAGCGTGGCCTGGCGCCACAACAGACTCTGCTCCAGCTCACTTGGCGGGATCCGAAGCTTTGACGCCGCGAGCCCGGCTCCTACCAGTGCCTCGCTCCACTCCCGCCACTCCGTACGGGCCAGTGCATCCGCTGGTGTTGTGCGTAAGAGGTACGAGATGCGGCGGGAGATGCTCCGAGATAGCATGAGTAAGGCGTGCTGCGGGTTGAGTTGGGCGACGAGATGTAGCGGCGCCGCCACCTCCGCTAGCGTCCCGCGGACCTGGTCGGTGCAGAAGGCGTCGCCGCCAACCGGGCTGCCCAACACCTTCAAGCCGCCTGGGTGGACAGGAAGACCGTGTGGCAGACCATCCCCTCCTTCCTCCCACAAAGCCCACCACGCCGCGGACTTGGTAAGGTTGCAACGTAATCCGCATGAAGCCAGCTCCGTGACTACTGTGTTAAAAGCCACGCACGACGCCTCGCGAGGCCCGACGATGGTGATGTCGTCGGCATACGCTACTATTGCCACCTCCGGTATGCTCGTGGCCACGCTGAGTAGTATCGGCTGGATTGCTGCCGCAAAAAGGAGAGGCCCCAGCGGATCCCCTTGGCGGACACCTCTGGAGCTTACGATGTGCTCCACTTCCAGACGGGGGTCCACAAGAAGCCGCGAGGAGCCATCGTAGAGGTTCATGACAAGCGGGAGCAGCGTGTTGAGAGTAGACCACTGGAGGGCGGAGAGGAATGACGCGCGTTCTACACTGTTAAATGCGTTTTCCACATCGAGCTGTAGAGCTACGCGGGTCTCGTCGTCCTTAAGGAGAGAACGAACCGAGTGGATAATACACTCCGCTCCCCCAGGAACCGCCACGCCGAACTGTACGGGTAGGAAAAATTCCCGGATTTTCGGGCCTAAGCTGTGCAGCGCCGCTTTAGCCACCACGCGGAGCAACGCCTCGCCTATTGCGATTGGTCTAACTCCTCCCCCAGGCTTTTCCAAGGCTATGAGCCGAGAGGGGAGTAGGAGGTCGCGGACTGATTGACTCTGGAAAGAGCCGGCGAGGCGATTTACCACGTTCGTCAGCAACAGGAGGATCTCCTCGTTCGCTAGGGCTGGGTCTCGTAGGTGTTCGAAACAGCTGCCTGAGGGCCCTGCCCCTACCCCATTCGGGCATTTCGCGAGGATTTCGCGCAGAGCCTCGAGTGGGATACGGAGCTCAGAGTCAGTGATCCCGGTAACCCATGCTGGTGTTGGGGCGCTTGACGGTGGGTGTTTCGCCCGTAGGGCAGCCAGGGTCGCAGAGCTTGGGTCGGCGAGGGGGCTTGTGCGTAACGCCGCAACCACCTTCGAAATGTTACCTTTTTTAACCAAACCCTCCGCTCTTGCGCAAACCCCTTCGTCATCGTCTTGATGCCTTAGCGGACCCCCCGTGTCGGGGATAGTGCAGGCTGCCTCGAACAACCCATCCCACTCTCCCAACTGGAACTGATGTAACCGAGCCTCAATCGCTGCCCACCAACTTCCAGTGACAGGCTCTGGTGGGGGGCGAAGTGTCAGCCTCGTGAGGTATAGTAGGACCGCCCAGGCACCTGGGCATTCTGGGTTCGTCGACAACCGCAGGAGAGGTGCGAGGAGACACAAACAGAATTTGTCCAGCACTTGGGGTGGTAAGCGTCTGACTAGGAAGGGTTGGTCCATCCGTTGAAGGAGATCCATAGTCCACGTGCCCGCCATTTGCCAGATGGCGTCATCCTCTGCCAGGGTGGCCGGCGATTTCACTTCGTTGGTTACCGTGGGAGCTGGCACAGATACTCCTTCAGCCTGGGATGTCGCCCTGGCCACTCCCTCTCCCGTCCCTCGCACTCGATTCCTGCCTCTTCCCAAATCCTCCTCGTTAACCAGAGACACCTCTTCGGACTCCGGGCCCGCCTCCTCTCCACACATAAACTCAGGGTCCCCCATGTCCTCAGCAGGCTCAGCGTCGACCCCATTGGCTGGGGCTTCCAAAACCTCTGGGCGGTCGTGGCGTTCCCGCCAAGGGCCTGTTCGTGCCTGGATCTCCGCTCCCCCCAAGCGAGCAACACCCCCGCGCCTTCCCCCTCGCCTCCCGCGATCCATACCACGGAAACCCCGGTTCGCCGCCAGTGCTGGCTGAGGCGTCGCCGCTAGTCCCGCTCTCCCCGCCGGCATCCATGGCGTTCTGCCTCCCCTTGGTGGGCCCCACGTGACAGCACCCAAACGAGCTGAGCGACGAGTGGCGACGGCCGCCGCAGTTGGAGCTACTGGGCTTGACGGTGAGTGCGTGTGTGCTCCGCTGTCCTGGTTTGGCGCCGGCTGCTCTGCCACACGGGTTGCTGTTGCCTCTGTTGTCGCCTCATTGAGCCCAGAAACCCCCCGTGCCTCTTGCGTGTGCGCAGATGACGACCGATGCACTCGCTCTGATGGCAGTTGCCCTTGCAGAAGCCAGCCCAGGAGGGGTCCCGGGGAGCCAGGTCCCAGCCCTGCTCCGAGCCGTCTCGGCGCTGGCTGGGCCCGCGGCTTCCTCGTCGACATCACTCGTGCAGCGCCGGAGGCGGCGCCGTTCGGGGGCCTCGGAGTCTCTCCCTCAGCTTGGACGTGCTCCTGCCTCCTTGAGGCCGCGGCAGCAGCAGGCATTCCGACGTTCGCAGCGGCAGTCGTCGCGCCTTCCGCCGTTGGGGCGTCGCCTCGCACCCCAGTCGCAGCAGACACCGCCGCCGCCAGCACGGCCGGCGACACCGGCGCCGGTGACGCGGATAGCGCCGCCTCCGCAGTCTGTTCCGGACTCGCGCCCAGCCTCGTCCCCTCAGCCTCCGCCTGTGCAGCCCGCGGGGTGGCAGAGGGCAAAACTGAGCCGGCGTCAAAGGCAGCGGCAGAGGCGCCAGCAGACACCAGGACCGCAGGCACTCCAGCAGCCGCGACTCCAGACTCCTCACCAGCCGCCACCGCGGGCGGCGCAGCCGCCTCCAGCTCAATCTCCGCTCCGTCGGTTTCCTTTGCCCCTCCATCCGCAGCAGCATCGCTCCTCGGTGTACCATGTTCCTCCGTCCCCTCCTCCGCCCGCTTAGGTCCCTCAGTCTGTGTCGGGCCCCTCGTCCTTCCATCAGTATTCATTCCAAGGCCCCCCTGTGCAGCACCCATGGGTTCCAGTAACGCCTCCTGCCCCGCCGCCCCCTCAAGCCGTGGTTCCTGGTCAGCCTCCAACTCTCGTCGAGCAGCGCGTGATGCACGTGGGGACTTGCTTGACGCTCTTGTCGTACGTGCTAGACCAGCTTCACGTGACTCTGGTGCAGCAGGAGGTGCAGATCGGGGCAATGCAGCCAGCGGAGCAGACGGCGGCAGTGGCGGCAGCGGAGGAGTTGCAGCATTACCTCCCGCTGATTGGCTTTGTGCCGGGCTCCCCCGGGGCTGCCCTCGGGCCCGGCCCTGGAGCTTTGGCACGGCTTGCCGAGTCTGCCCAGGAGGACCCTCTCGACCTTGTAGCCGCTGCCGCGTCCGTCCTACGCTGGTTGGACGGGCGGCTTTGCTGGATCCTGATTGAGTAGCTGGTGCCTTCCCTTTACCGACCGCCTGAGAGGCAGGCCTGGCTTTGGGCTTCCCCATGGCGGTGTAGTCACGCCCGGGGGTGTTGCTGTTTTAGTAGAATGCTACCCCAGCATGTTGTACCTCTTGCTGCTACCTTCCTTATAGACTATGCCTCTCTCTCTCTCTCTCTCTCTCTCTCTCTCTCTCTCTCTCTCTCTCTCTCTCTCTCTCTCTCTCTCTCGCTCTATCTCCGTTGGGTTAGAAGAAATGAACCCTCAGCCGAATAATGAGCCACCAGACCAGGCCCAGGGCCTTATATACTAGGGGTAGGGGTGGCTAAGAGGCTGAGAGGCTAAGGGACTAAGGGACTATGCCTCTCTCTCTCTCTCTCTCTCTCTCTCTCTCTCTCTCTCTCTCTCTCTCTCTCTCTCTCTCTCTCTCTCTCTCTCTAATGGTCCTTGTATTGATATGGCAGCCAGGTACAAGCATGCAAGGTATAGAAGCATACACACAAAGGCAAGTTCTACCCTATACCCCCCCTAAAGATCTAGGAGGGGCTCTATCACTGCAAAACAATCTCCAAGGTGCAACTCCTGCCCAATGCCGCCCACAGGCGGGTTCTCAGCTGCAGCCGCCTCGCCCATCTTCATCAGGAGGCCCACGGATTGTGCCCTTTGAAGGGCCACCGACCATCTCTGTCGAAATCGATGTAGAAACTTTGCGGCATAGTATGATTTTGAGTCGGCGTTGAAGTGCCGCCGAGCCGCCGTGTCTGCCAATAGCTTCAAGAAGGTTGGTACTTCCGCGCATGGGCAGCCATAGGTGTCGACTGCCAGTGGGAAAAAGCCAACCGTCTCCGGCCGGTTGGCGTAATGCTGGATCTTCTAATCAGCTTGTTCCCGTGCCGCCCATCCCCTGCCTTTCTGCGCCTCTGGGTCCCTCGTGCTTATGGGATCCGTGATAGTGACATCGCACACATACACCGCCCCACTGCTTCGATCCGTCATGGTAAAGTCGGCAGTTTGCTCCTCGATGGGGCAATGGGCGGCCGACTCGCTGTGGACAATGAAACCTGCGTGCTGCGCCATGCTAATGCATGCATCCCGCAGCTCGTTGTGGCTGTTAATGCGGTGTTTGCCCAAGCCGCAGCGCAGGAGATGGTTCGGCAGGCGGGGGTCGGTGATAGGCGTTTTGTCCGCGCAGTCACAATTCTTAGGAGTCGAGAAGGGGAGAGCCAGGCGGAATTTGACGGAGTTGGCGAAGTGTACGGGGCCAATCCGCCTAGTCGCTTCAATGGGTATCGCGGTCAGCCAATCGCCGGTGCCGTATCCCGTCAGCGAAAACATGCGCTGAGTGTGGCCTGAGAGTGGGTTCAGCCGCATGCGCCTGGTTGCCTGGACCTGCACGGCGTATCTGCTGCCGTGCACCTGCAGCCCGAGGACGTGTTGAAGACGTATGTCCGATCGCTCCAGCCGCTCCTTTTCCAGTATCTCACGAGCGTCTGTCGGCAGCACCTCCTCACACCCCTTCACCCAAACGTGAAGTGGCGTGCTGGTGTCCCGCGGCAGGAGCATGTGGTCCCGTGCCTGTTTCAGTGCATTCCCGTCGCCCAGCATGAGGTCGTTGAGAAACAGCGCCGCCTGGGTGAAGCTCGCGGCGAAACCGTAGACCCCCTCAATCAAGGGGTTCGTAATGCCTAGCCCCCCTAATGACGGAGGCAGTGACGCCTGCTCCCAAACCCTCGTCTGCTCCGATTGGCAAGTCGGCACGCGGATGTCGCAGGCGGTAAGGAGCGTGGTGAGGAGGTCCATGCCCCACTGGCTCCATTTGTCGCGGGGAAGAAGATTAAGGGGCGTCGTCCGTGTCAGGTACGCAACACGCCTCGATATACATCGCGTGATAAGCAGTGATGCGACCTGGGGATCCGTTCGTTCGATGAGCATCAGCGGCTTTGCCATGTCAGCTAACTGCTCCGCCAGAAAAGAAGCCGCGCCGTCGTCCGATCCCAGAAAACTGCCCAGTAGCTGGACGCCGTCGTTTGAAAATGGCACTCCTGGGGGTAGGTGCGGTGCTTGTACCGTACTGGAGCTCCACGCAGCACATTTTCGGGGGTTGTGCTCGAGCCCCAGGAGTGACAATTTGTTGGTGAAGTACGAAAATGCTGCTACAGTGTCTCTTTGTTCCCCGATGAACGTCACGTCATCCGCATACGCCAAACAGAGCACCCCGGGGTGTGTGTCTGCCGTATCGCAAAGGGTGGCATGTATTCCTGCTGCGAATAGCAGCGGGCCGAGTGGGTCCCCCTGGCGGACACCGCGTTCGCTTCGCAGTGGTTCGGACTCGAAGTTTGCATCTAAGAGCAGCTGCGACGGGTTACCGTATGTGAACTTGACGAGCGGCAGGAGCGGCGAGAGGGCGGGGGTCTGTAACGCGGTGGCGATGGCTTTTCGCGAGATGCTGTTGAATGCGTTCCTGATGTCAGCTTGCAGCACGAGGCTGTCGGGGCGGGCGTCCAAGAAGGCCCTGGCCGCGTGGATCACAGTCTCGGCGCCACCTGGCACTGCCACGCCGTACTTTAGAGGGAGGAAAAAGGCGCGAGCTGCCTCCCCCATTGCTAACAGGGCTGCCTTGGCTGCCAGCCTCGTCAAGCATTCGCCAATCGCGATTGGCCGAGCGCCACCCCCCGGTTTGGCCAAGGCGATGAGGCGCGACGCAGTTAACAAATTTGCCACCGTGTCTGGCAAATTTCCTCCCAAAATTGTATTAACCAGGGCGTGCAGATGGGTGCTGACCAGCGCATTTGTGATCGCCGAGTCGCGCAAATGCTCGAATGTCATCCCCAACGGCCCAGCCCCAACTCCATTTTCGCATCTGCCCAACAGCTTTGCGAAATCCGCGTGAGCGATTGAAAGCGTTGACTTCTCCGGTGTCGACCAGATCACCTCCTCGTCAACAGCTGGTGGGTGCTTCTGGCGCAGTTCCTCCAGGATTTCGGGGCTGGGCGTGCAGACAGGCGTTGACTCCAATGCAAGAACGGCTCGTCGTAGGCTGCCACGTTTCGCCAGCCCCTCGGCCCGTTTGATTACTCCTGTCACGTCTGGCCTGTGTCGGGGCGGGGGTGGCGCGTTGACTGCAGCAATCGTGTCCAGGTACAGTTGCTCCTATTCGCCACGTTGGAAGGCTCGCAGCCGGGCCTTGACTTTCGGCCAGTCCGGTCGTTGCGGCGAGGTTTGGCGGAGGGTCAGGCGCGGGAGAAACAGCAGCACACGCCAACCTGTTTCCGACTCCGGGTTTCGGGAGAGATGCAGTAACGGCGTCAGTAACACTAGCGAGAACAGCTGACACAGATCTGGCGGTAAGCGCCGCGACAGCGAGGGCTGACGATTGTCGCACAAGGCCGCGACATCCCAATCCCCAATCGCAGCGAACAGGTCTGTTCGCTTCGCCAATTCCTCAGACGAAAAATAGCGGGGGGCCGAAGCAGCCGGTCGTGATGCAGCCCCCCTACTCGCGGCCCGATTTCGTCGAGCGCGACTCGGTCCCGCTGGTGAGGCAAATGTTGGAGGCTCTACCGTCCGATCAGCATCGTGCGGCGTGCGTGCCTCCTGGAGCGGTTGTGCTCGTGTTGTCCTGGCCCCGGCTTCTCTTCTCCCAGAGCTCTCCCTCACCCCGTCTCCTTCCTCCTCCCCTTCATCCTCGCTATCCGGCGTGGCGTCTCTCCTATAAGAGGGGTCCCTCCGCTCGTCCTCTTCATTAGCTGATTGTAAGTTATTTAAAGCCACACGTGCCGCCGCTTGGTATCCGTTCTCTGGGCCCTCGCCAACTCCGCTTCGTGCTACGTGGTTCGTCCCGCGATCTCCTCGCGTCCGAGATGGTGGTGATTGCTGGAGCTGATGAGCCGTCGCCAGAGCGCGCTGTCGCCTGGTCGGCTGTCGTCGCCAGGCCTCAGTCGGGACTCGAAAAGGGGACCACGGCGACGAAACCCCTTCTACCGCCTGCTCCGAACGCCGGGACAACAGCCTCTGAAAGGACTCCTCCCCACGCACCCGTGGCTCTGCAAGGCGTGGCAGAGGCTGGCCCGTCTGCTCATGTTGAACCTCTTCCCGCTCCGCCTGCGGCTCCCGTGCCCCCTGCTTCCGTGGAAGCGGCGGAGGCGTCTGTGTCTGCTGGGGGGGCTGCTGCACGTCCTGCCCCTGCGCTTGGCGCGTTCGTTGTACCGGCCGCGTCTGTCCCCGGCGTGCCTGCGCCGGCGTCTGCTTCTTCCCCAAGGGCGGCGTCCGCCACCACTGTCGACCCGGCTCCGATGGTTGCTCCTCCTGGCGCGGAACCGGCGGCTCCCGCTCAACTGCAGGCGGCCCTTGCAGTGCAGCCGTCTCGTCCTCCGTCGCCGGACCGCCGCCAATCCCGCCCTCATTCTCCCGCGCCCCAACAGGAGCGCGAGACGTCGCGGCGCCGGCGCAACTCTCCCCGGCGCTACTATCAGCAGGCCCAGTGGCCTGCTCACCCTGGCGGCACTGGGGGCTGGAGGGGCCCCTACGGGCGTGGTGGTGGCGGGAGGTATCGTCCGCCTGTGACAATGGCGGATCTCCAGCGGGAAGTGTCGAGGGCTGTTCGTGAGGAGAGGGCGGCGTAGAGCCAGAGCAGTTCGCTGCGCGCCTTGCCAACCCCCGAGGCTCCCCGGCCGGCTGCTCTTCCTCTGAACCTGCAGCCTGTTGCTGCGTCTCCCCCTCAGGTCCAAACGTCGTCTGCGCCTCCTCCCGCGGTATTGGCATCTGCTCCCGGGTCCCGTCTCCATTTGCCGCCGCTTCCGCCTGTTGCGGGAGTGGAGTTCGCGCCCGCGGGTGGCGGCGCACTGGCGGCTCTGTTTGATCTCCCAGCTGCTGCTGATGAGACGCTCCAATTCCTGGCGGAGGCACTCCAGCCTCCGCAGACCCGTGTTCCCGAGGCGACTCTCGGACAGCTTCTCCGCCTCGCTGACAGTCTTCACGCTCTGCTGCTGATTCAAGTGCTTGCCCACTCG